CCATATATTCGCTTCATCAACCCCTATTACAGTACCTTTGCACAACTGGGAGGAAAGCCTCAAACATAAACAATGAAATACCGGTACTCGACAATTCAAATTAAATTAGGTAGCTGCATACCCTAAGAGCATGTGGAACTCACTATTTAATAATAAATACTGTTCCCGCTTTTAAATGGCCTGTGTAGTACTATTTCACTTTAAAACCAGCATCAGAAATGACTACCAAAGATGCACTTGTCGTTACCCAAAGGCTGATCTCAGCCTACTGCACAGGCCAAGCCTAGCCACATGAACGCTTAAACCAAACACACGTCTGTGTCATGACGATCGAATACTGTATTCTTTCTTAGTGCATGAAACGAAAAACAAAGCACCAGTGCCCGGAATTAGGAAAAACAAAACAAAAGATTACCGTTACTCGCTAATACATGACAACACAAATGAATCGGGTGGGAAAAAAATCCTCTATCCTATTATGACACGACGCCGGCTGTAAATACCTCTCCATTTCCACTGTACAGAGCATCACATCCCTGTTTTAATTCTGAACTGATGTAACGCTGATTCAAACCGTCAGATGCGGGTGTAAACAAATAACTAGAAAACGATACAATTCTTACCGTTTTATTAACCTCCAGAATGAATTAAGGCCTAGAATCCTTAAAGCTCTACCCATGGCTTTGATTTTTCTCCTTTCCCCCTGCACATCATCAGCAGCAGCTGTACCAAAGCGCGATGAGGACGATGATGCTGTAAAAAAACTCCGCCCTCCTCCTGTCTGTCAGAATGAGCTCATTGAATTTGCCAAGAAAACTGCAGTCTCCTTTTTTATCCCTCTTCTTGTTTTTTTTTTATCCGTTTTACTTTCTCCACTCTTTTCACTTTCCCCTCTCGTGGAGTCCACACCACTGTCACAGACCGCACAACGGGAAACGAGCAGACGCTCACAGAAGGTACGATCGGAAATAATATTAAGCCGCACGACTTTGTAGCTCATAGTACTGTACAATACACAGTATGTAGAGGAGAATCCCTTTTACAGCTCCTGGTTAAACGTTTCAGTCACAGCACTGTCGACACTTAAGTATTTATTTCGCCGTTTTCTTTTAAATAAATGAACATATTAAGAGATTTTTTCAAACTAGCCTTATTAACATTTAAGCATTGTGAAGCAAAAAGGTAAAGCACAGTGAGGTGGACACAGAGCGCCAACGGGGGTGGTGAAGGTGGAGCAGCGCCTGGGAGTGGGAGTACCGCACATACAGTAAAACACAAGCCAGGGCACCAGTAACTGAGGAACCGGCTCCTTCTCTCCTGCGGCGCACTGTTCCTTTCTAACATCTCAACAACGAAGGTTTCCATAGTAATCCGAGTGGTTTATCGGTCTCTCTTTAGGCTGTTTTGATTTTAAGATCACCAGTATTTATCTGGTGACAGTGCCAGGTTTTGTACAAGCAAAAATCAAATCGTAAATATTGTAGCTGTTAAAATATTGTAGCGGTCAGCCAGTCAGACAGGGAGAGTCTGAGGTGGTGTCACGCCCTCTGCGGCCAGAGGGCGCTCTTACTCTATCCAATTCTAATATAATACAAAAGTTCTTAAAAAGGGTGTTT